TTTTATCTGCTAGAGGGCGCCACCGGTGTAACTCAGTTTTTGTCTCTAAATCTCTAACTCACAGGAGTTAAGTCCATAATTTATGCTATAAACCCGCTCCCCGACATTCTCTATCATTWAAAAAAAATTTGAGCCAAATCAGCCCAGCCGTTCTCAACTGATGCGATTTCGAATTTTTTGTCTCCATTTTTATATATATAGATTATATGCATAAATACATTTTAATAAATATCTTAAACTTTCTTTTAAATTTTAACATTAAATCACTTAGCTTATTATCTAACTAACTTACATTTCATTGAAATCAAATGTTAGTATTATTTTTCGCGTAATTATATTATGTAACCAARGTGTTATTGGTAATTATAGAAACCTTGTATGTGGCAATATGTGATAATGCAAAACGTTCTGGATATACAGTATGTTTCCTTTTAAAGGTAACACTAAATAATTCTGTCCAGTGATATTAGATTTATATGGCTTTTTTTTTAATAGTTAGGGACTATTAAAATACACATATTTTTTTAATTTTCAAATTTTGAAAAAAAAAATGGAATTTAAAAAATTMATATATAGGATGGGCKATGAATACGTGAATTTTAAGAATTATTCGTTTCACGGATGCATTACAACTATATTATTTTGGAGYATTTACTCAGAGAAGTGTCGAAACGACATTTATGACTTTGAAAAATGTATATATACGTGGATATGATGGGGAATAATATAATATTATAATGGCTTAGAGGTTTAGATTGTATATCTACCGCTCACCAATATGGTGTATCATGGCGAATATTATGATGTGTGTGCGTATCAATATTGTTATACCTACACCGAACGCTGCGCATATTATAATATTTGATTTGGTTTTAGTTACTTTTTTTTTATTTCGTTTGCCATCGAGTGGAGAAACATTCTTCCTAGATCCCTCACCGTGTATAGTCATACAAACATCCCGTGTCTATATTCTCACCGTCGCGGTCTGCATGAATATTTATCTTCCCCATTTGCGCTCATTCATATGACCGACAATCCACGGATGCGAGTAGATCACGTACCGCACGATAAGTCTACGCGACGTACATGTATTATATACAATATACAATACATACATAAATATGTTATGTATGCAAGTATGTATTTGTATAATGTATGTATAAGTMTGTAAATATATATATATTATATATGCATATATTATATGCTTAGATGCGATGGATCTTTTTTTTACCACGGATACGTAATCCGACACGAGCTTTTTACAGGGCGTCACGCACGTGGATATACCAAACCCCCCTCGTGAGTTTTTATTAAAATTTAACGTGGTTTACCAAAAAAACCATTTTGACCACCGATTGCACGAAAATGTAATTTTCCTTATTATTATTTTATTTTTTTATTCCTTCTACTATTTTGGTATTTTTGATTTGTATTACATGCATTTCAAATTTAATTTATTTTGTGTTCATTTTTTTAATTGTTAATTTTTAAAATTAGTTAACACACTAGATAAAGTCAGTCTCAATKTAAAAAGATACAAATAATGAAATAACATAATATATAAAAGAAAAAAACATTGAAAAAATCTACGATTATAATTATTATTGTTAAAATTTGATATAATATGATTCGTAAGTTATGACTTTACGAATAATAAATTATTATATACACTCCATATAATATACACATAATAATAGCCTTATATAGATATATTTATTTATTTATATAATATAAACAACTGTACTCAACTTTACTTATCTGATGTAAAAACAACTTYACCACAACAACTATATTTATTTTATTTATGTTTGATAATATTATTTTAGTTATCAGCTATATTTTATGTTCAAAATAATATCGGTTCACGGTCAGTTAACTGTGTCGGGAGTATTCAACTGGCAGTATGCCATTAGAAGATTGTCTTGCTAAGTTTATTATACAATCAAAAGCATTATTATATTTATTAACAGTTACGCTTTTAAAAATGTATAAGCTAATGCACACAATGAGCATTATTTTCGATAGTTTACGTGTAAACTCAGTTAAATTGTTACGGCAGTTAGAACAAGTTGAAAACTACAACTTCTTATTTGTATATAATTCGTATATTAAATAAAATAACTATTAGATATATCTACAGTTTAACTATTAAAACGACACATAATCATGTATAACAATTTTAGTCAAACATTATATGATTAATTAAAACTCAGACATTATAAACAACCAATTCAATATAATCTTAACTTTTTCRCTCTCAAGAATTTTTAAATTATTGTTCTCTCGCAGGCAAAGTTTTTTTTTTTATCTGATAACAACATTTAGGTGTACCTTAAGCAAAAAAAAAAAAAAAATTGAAATACATGAAAATATGTCTTTGGTAATGTCATTACCTTGAATTGTTGTACGTGGTTTGATTCGTCTTTGGAAATACAACATAATTTTCTAATTTCATTAGATTTGAATTAGAACTAGTGAACAATCATAATGCATCAATGGAAAGAAAATGGTAAAAATCCTTTAGAAATATTCAAATACCTACTTGTAGGCTGTAATTACAACAGATAGATAATCGATTAGTCAAATGCAAATAGTACAAMATTTTTGAAAAATCAAAACTTTTTAAACCTAGATTACTATAGATAATATACTTTTGGTATAAGGATTAAAATAATATTAATTGCTATTGTATACTACACTATGTATAATATTATGTACACTACTAGTCAGTAATTTAGTGTTCTATTTGCATTGTTTACGGTACTTGTATGCATCTAATTAAATCATATATAATTATGATAATGTAATACAATTTAAATTAACTATGATTACAGTTTCCAATGATAAAAATTCATWAAAAAAAAAAAATTTTAATTTTAATATCTATAATACGGTTAAGAATGATKTATTGTAAATTATTCAACTTCGTATCAGGTTATATTTAATAAATTTTAAAATTTAAAATCGTAAAAATGTGCTTCTCACAGACATTTTCAGTGAGGCTGATTATTTTGTTGAAGAATAAAAAAGATAAATTGAAACAGTAGTCTTCTGGCCTGTTTCGTTGAAATAGAATGAAAACGCTCTGGTTAATGGTATCACTTTCTCTGTTTATTTTCACATAAATATTTATAATTATATACAGGATACGGGACCGATTCGCTAACGCGGCAGCCAGGCTGGAGAGCGGGCTGCCGGATACGACGAATTGTCACGACGAGCTGGAAAGCTCTGTTCTATCCACAGGTTAGGGTTATTTATATACATTATACATGCAACATATAATCAGGGTATAGGGCTTACCACGGTTAGTGTGTAGTTATGATGTTATGAAGCGACTGCTATCGTGAATCTGACCCGGGAAGGCAAGCTCTCAAAAGCGGCCGTGGGTAAATTGGAGTTCGTGTGAGGAACGTGAACCGTCTGATGATCTTATCTGGCCCGTTGACTGTGGCGTCGATTCGTGCGGAAAGGGTGAGACGTTGCCCGTATGGGTTGCTCACGGTCCGTACGGGAAATGCTCGTTCGGTGTTCTTGTCGACGTTTCTTCGGACTCGGACTGGTCGTCGTGTCGCTTCGGTGTTCCTTTTTCTCTTCTTTTCTTCGTACTGGCTGACAATATGTTCCGGTAGAAGAAATTATGTTGATTGAAGAAGAAAGGTAATTATGGACGGAAAACAACCGGTATATAACCCGTGCGCTGTACCGACTAGTAAACTATCGTGTGTGCCGCCGTGATGTTTGTGTTTCCCGTCGGTACGGTTTTGTGTGCTGTTAACTGGGTTTTTTGGTTATAGTCGTGGRGAGGGTCTCATTATATTAGCCCTGATCTTCCCTATCCATGGCAGTATTTGAAAAGTTGTTAGCGTAGTTGAAGAAACTTATATTTTGTAAAATAGCTCTGACTACTGTGATTTCTTGTATGGCGTGTTCTGATTGGTTGATATTGTGTAGTCCTGATAAGGACTGTTTTAGTGAATGATGTACTGTTACAAAATTCAAAAGTATATAAATATATAAACAAAAAGATACAATCGTATAGTTTTTGTTGATATGTAATTGTAATATTAATGAMAAATTATAGTATAAACAATTTAATTAATTATTAACTAAAATTATTTCAACATTACATTTTATTGGTAACTCAAGTTATTTGTTTGGCCCTTGAGCTTCCACTAGTTAATGTCTTATTGGGCGTCATAATATATTATGATTTATGGAACATAGAGTTCTAATTATTGGATACATTTTTTTCGTCATGGTACTGTATGCATTTATGTCAAAAATTGTATTATTAGGTAATGTAAAAGTCGTTAATTTCACGAAAAATGTTTTGAGTAAACTTTTCGACATCGTGTTGTTATCGTTCATAATTATATCCAATTTATGAATACAAAAAAATCTTTCAAATTCTTTTAAAACTACTGTKATACCCACCGTCTGCSAGTATTCATCTCTACAAATTGCATCATACATAATCGACCTCAGACGGTATAATAGAGACAAAAACGTGAAGGGGAATAATAATTGTTGATTTTGATAATTCAAAAGCGCAAAAACTATTATCAACTYCGTTCAGTCTTCCAGGGTGATAAAAGACAAACAAAAAGTTTTCAAACGCCAATTTAAACTTCGATACTATCTAGTCGACTCTTCGTGGTTCGGTTATAAATACACTTTCCGCATTAAATAAGCTGTATTTCCGTCCGCTCTTCCGGTGGTTTTATATTGTAATATATACTAAATTAAAATTAAATAATTGTTCACTGCAAGAGCGAACCGCACCTATATAATATAACTACATATATCAATCGTTTTTTTACAGCATGCAGTCTGCATGATGCAGATATTAATATTATGTTATTCATCGTTTTTTTCAATTTTGATTTCAGATCCAAACGCTGCCAGCTACACCTACTCCAAMATTTTCTATGCCGTTGCTTTCTACTGGGTTTTCAAGTTGTTCGCCTACTAAATTGGAATAAGAGATGATAGTATTAACCGCAACCGTAGTCCACAATCTATAAAATAATGGTGTAGATTTAATTTAAATATGTTTTGCAATAGACTCACACAAAAAAAAATATATATATATATATATAATAATAATAAAATATTACATTTAATTACATCAAAACCCTAAGTGAGAAAAAAAACATAAATATAGACGTAATACGAATAATTAAATGATATTGAACTGTCAGAACTTTAAAACTAGTATATCGGACACGCAACAATTCACTTTAGTCACTGCTGTTTATTATAAGTATATGTTATTTACTAGGTAGTTTACAGTTTTCTAGTAGGTGATAAGTCAGTTATTTAAAATCAGTTTTAGAAAACAATAATATTAGATATCATTGTTGATTGACAATTAAGTATCTTTAATTATTAATCATGTTTAGAGTTTTTCCCAATCATCATGATGATATTAATCATTTGGACATTAATTCCAAAACTTCTATGAATTCAGTTGAATTGAATTCAGTTAAGTGCTTTAATATAATGTATCCGGCATGAAAAACTCGAATTCGAGTTTTTTTTATGTTTTACCTAAGTCAGAAACGACTAAATTCGATTTGATATTTTTTTATTATTATTATT